TTCTTTCTTTCTTTCTTTCTTTCTAACATTTATTTATTTATTTATTTATCTATTTATTTGTTGTGATTTTCAGGCTGCGGGGTCTGGGACTTGAACCACAGTCGACCATGTGAGAGTCCAGTGTCTCAATCACCACACCACCTTGCTGGCCCCTCCTTTTTCTTAATGTTAAGACAGAATATAACCATCTAACCATGTCATGATCCTCCTGCCTTAGCCTCCTGAGGTGCTAGAAGCACAGATGTGCACCAACACAGCCAGCTCATTAAGACAAAGCCTCGTTATGTTGCCAATGCAGGCTGCAAATGCATGGTCCTCCTGCCTCAGCCTCCCGTAGCTGGGATCACAGGCACATGCCACTGCACTGGGTTTTTTTAGGGTCCAAGGATTAAATGGTCACAGCCTCCTGAAATGCAGCATCAACCAGAGCATGCTATACAGACTAGGCCTAGCTCCCTCTCTTGAACTACGACTCCAGAGGGAGAAAAAGCACCACGAAGAAAGAAGTACAAACAGGAAGAGAAGGAGAGTAAAATAGGGAGTGAAGTCCATTCTAAACTTTTGCAAGTTTAGACCATAGAAGGCAGTGATTATAACTAGAATTGAAGACCATAGAAGGTAGTGATTATAACTAGAATTGAACTAAATATTAAAATTAACCCTCCAATTGGGAACAGCAGTTAGCATAATGGCTATGTCACTGGACTCCCAAGTAGTTGACCACGGTTCAAATCCCGGACCCGGTGGCTTAAATTCATGCCGGCGCGTGTGCATGCATGCCCAAGATCCCAAGAGGAGAATGGAGGAGAAGGGACCACGGCATGGCCATCCCCTCTGGGGGGTGATTTCTTGCTTTCTATCTCTCTGTCTCTGTCTGTCTGGCGAGTGCACGTGCCCTATAGCAAAAACCTCTCAAAAAAAAAAAAAAGAAGTAATAAAATGAACCCTCCAAACATTTATACATGCCCACAAGTGTAATGCGGCACTTACATCTGTTTTAATGCACACAAAGACAGATTTACATGTGACAATAACACAACTCTTATTAGTGACATTTCTGTTCATTTAGCTCAATACAGTCTCACAGACACAATCGTGAATTTCCAGAAATTCTTCTTACCCAAACACATCTACATATAAAACTTTAAAAATCAGATTCATTCTCTGGTCCTCTGCCTGTTGTGAAAAATTCCCTGCTTGACCTAAGTCTGACATCTGGCCCTGATCCAGCAGGGTGTGAAAATCCATTTTGCCAGCCTCACCCTCAGCCTTACCACTTGCTTATCAACATGTAACGATCTACTAGTCATGTTCTTTTCAGACTGACAAGTGGCCTACCCTCCCAGATGATGCCAGATGGGTTAAAGGAGAGATTAATGGCTTTGGGCTATAGGGCAGAGGACTGGAAGACTTAAAGTACGAAGGGTAATATATATGGTGGTAACAGCTCCCAGAAAGACAGTCTGATTAGTT